TGAAGATTTGTACACGTTTCAGGAGAGTGGGAGTGTGTCTTGCATTGAAAGTCACTGTTCGGATAGGATGTTTCGAGATGTGTGCTGGAGACTCCAGTGCCAATCTAGAGTTCCAGAAACAGAACCACCATGTGATGCGACCCTCAGAGCCCTGCCCTGTACAAAAGTGCCTGCCCAAGCAAGGTCAAGTCCAGGAGAGGTTGAAATCCAGCCCAGTTTGGCTCCTCTCCAGCTTCTTGCCAGGCCGTCTTTGCTCAGAGCAAGGTACATCTGTCTCTGCTGAGCCAAGTATCAGGAGAGGTGCCCTCTTCTGAGTGGCTCGTAGGGAGGGCAGCTCTTTCTATACAAGACAACCACAGCTGTGCCTCCAAGAGGCAATCTGACCCTGTGTAAAATTTAGGGAGTATTTAAGTGGATGCCGAAATGAAGTCATCTACATTTAAAAAAAGTCAGTCTCTCTGGTTCCCAAGGAGCACTTGACTGCTCCTCCAGAAGTCCTAAATTCAATTCCCAGCAAGCAACCACATGGTAGCTTGCAAACATCTCTAATGGGGTCTGAACTCCTCTTCTGATGTACATGAAGACAGAGCACTCATACACATAAAATACATGAATAGAGAGAACAGGCAAAGATGACCTGCCTTGGTTAGAGTTTCTGTTGCTGTGAAGAGACACCATGACCATGGCAACTCTTACAAAGGAAAACATTGAATTGGGGTGGCTTATAGTTTCAGAGGTTTAGTCCATTATCATCATGGAGACATAGTGGCATGCAGGCAGACATGGTGCTGGAGAAGGAGCTGAGAGTTCTACATCTTGATCAGAAGGCAACAGGAAGTGAACTGTGACACTAGGAGTAGCTTGAGCATAGGAGACCTCAAAGCCCACCCGACCCCCCCATCCCAGTAACACACTTCCTCGAACCAGGCCACACCCACTCCAACAAAGCCACACCTCCTAACAGTGCCACTCCCTTTGGGGGCCATTTTCTTTCAAACCACCACATGGCCTTACCTCTTAACAATTGCTAAACTCTTCAAGGTTACAAATTAAATTGGCCCTGAGGTTAAATAAAGTACTTTTTTTCCCCTAAACTTTTAAAGCAAAGCATTTTTTCTACTATATAGACCAGGCTGACCCTCACACTCACAGAAATACACCTGCTTCTACATCCCAAGTGCTGGGATTAAAGGTGTGCACCTCCACATCTGGCCCAGTCATAGTTGAAAGGCTTCCATTGTGCCTCTTGTCTTATAAAGCAGTGCAGTGTGGACTAAGTCCTCATAATATACCTTGAGAAGAACTGAAGAAGGAGAGGGTTGGTCTCTGAACTTCAGTATTTATCTGCTTGGAAAAAAGAAAAGCTAATTACAAAATGAGAGTACCAGCCATTTCCGGGATGATGAGTTGGTTTTGCTTGTCAGATATACTCAGTCTTGATTTCAATGGCAGGATATAATTCCCATCAGGGTGGCCTGCAGCGTCTGCATGCTGTGAAACATGGTTAATGAGCACACACAGGGCTTGGCCTGCCTGCATGTTAACCTCCTGCCTGCTCACATGCAAGCAGAAATAGCAAATAGGTGATAAATTAGGATTCACATCAGCTAATGCGTCACAGCGATGCCGCTTTATTGCATCTGACTTTCTGCTCAGCCTCGTACCTCGGTAGAGTGTGGGGAAACCTCAGAAGCGTGTCTCCTGAGTTTTTACAGCCCAGGCTAAGATCAAAGACGGTCTGGACTGTGAATACCACCTTTGTTCTCCTTCAGTTTCACTTCTTTCCCACTTCCCACATGGCAAACCATCCCAAGGCCGTCTCCATCCACCAACTGGTGCGCCTGCCTCATCCACCACGCTGGCAGTCATCCATTTGTCGGTGGTTCAGTGAGCAAACCCTCTTGATTTACCTTCTTCTCTACCCTCTTCCTGTCTCTCTTACCAAGGTCAGGGTTAGTTTTTCCATAGCCCATTGTTCACGGCCCACTGCCGTGCTGTGTTGAATGGTTAATATAAAGATGGACATAATTCTTGCCCCACCTTGGAACTTCCATATTGGATAAGATGAATAAGTGGGTGAGTTGGGGTGGGAGAAAGGGATGGATGGATGGATGGATGGATGGATGGATGGATGGATGGATGGGTGGATGGATGGGTGGATGGATGGATGGATGGATGGATGGATGGGATGGATGGGTGGGTGGATGGATGGGTGGAGAGGTGGGTGGAGGGGTAGGTGGATGAAATTAGAAATAGAATGTATATACAAATACCTCATGAGGGGACAGAACTAAAATAGATATGAGCTCTGTGGGCAAGATATTCAGTGAGGGCCTCTGATTTCCTACCTATAAAATGGAGGTAATAATTCTCACTTAGCTTGGGTGGCTGTAAAGATTAGAGTCTGTAAATTGCTTAGGGAAGTGCGTAGTTAAAACAACAACCCGGAGTGGGACCGTCATAAGTACAACAAAAGGTGATAAGTGACATAAGCGACATGCAAACAAAGAGGGTGGGGGTTCTGGGCACCTGCAGGAGGCCACCCCTGTGTGTGAGCCATGCGCTTGCGCACAGGGGCTCTCCCAGCCTCCAGGTCATCTGCAGCACAGCACACGCCTTGGCTGGGCAGAGCTGAGCAGCTCGGGGCCACGGGCACAGACCGGGAACCGGGCAAGTCCTGGGCGGTCAGACATTTACAAGGGAAGCAGGTGTCACCTGCAGGGACTGCCTGCCCTTAAGGCTCCCACGGAGTGGCTTCAGAATGGAGGCTGGGAAGGACCTCAGCTGCCAGAGTTGACCAGGCTGCCAGTGAGGAATGAAGATCATTCCTCTCTCTAGAACCCGGGAGCACTTCATTGCTTCTCCTCCTGCCTCCCTCTGGATGTCTAAAGTGAAGCGCTTTTCTCTCTTCTCCAGCTTAGAGGCTGAGAATGGTGTGGAGGATAGGAAGAAGATCAGCAAGTCGCCAACAGCCCAGTCCCCTACCTCGTCAGTGGAGGCCGAGTCCCCAGACCAGAAGAGAAGCATCGGCCTGTGGTGAGTCTTCAGTGGACCCTTTGTTCTCGGGCTTGTAGAGAACACTGGTGTTTCTGGTTTTATGGTTGTGGCTCAACTGTACGCATATCATGCCCTGAGAAAGCATGGCCCTGGGTTTTGCCCTGTTACTCTCGGGTCTTCCTAGCAGGACCTTTTGCTCCTGCTCCTCAGCCTCTGCAGAAGGGGCTGCCTCTTTCTGAAAACACTGATGGGTTGGCCGAGGAAGCCAGCGGGTCTACTCTCAGTCCAGAATGCGCCCAGTGTCTGCTCAGCCTCCACATCCGCACGCCTGACCCTCACTTTTCCTGGGAGCCACGGGAAAGAGCAGAGGAGACCCTATCCCAGGGATCTGCTGAGCTACCCGTGTCCTGGGACTGGGGCTATTGAAGGAGACCTGGTTTGGCTGTAAGGGAGGAGGAGTGATGTGTCTTAATACAGAGCTGTAGGCTCTATCACTCTCAGAGGCAAAAGCTACCAAGCGGGAGCTTAGAGGTATTTGTGGCCAGAGGAATAAATGTGAGAAGTTTTGTTGGTGGTGGTGTTTTAATTTTGGTTTTGTTTTTTGGTACTGGGGATCAAACCTGAGGCTGAACACACACAACTGTTCTACCACCAAGCTGTGTCCCCAGGTTTAAATGTGGTTTTGAGGACTCTCCACAAAGGGGAAGTGCTCTCCTCCCCATGGTTGTAGCTGTTAGAAGCCCTGCCCTCCCCCACCTCTGCCAGGAGACAGTTAACCAAGTCCTACCTTGCCCTTCCTCCCTGGCTCTCCACCTCTGTCTCCTTTCGGCCCTCTCCTAAATCAATGCCTGTAGTGTAACTCCTCACCCCGATTTCCCTTTTCAGGTCCCACTCCCAATAATTTCTGTCTTCCCTGCACACCCTGTTTGTGGAGTTTCATCTTTCACCATTTTTCTAGAGCTGTTTTCCCGCAGAGCACCCTGCCCCATGCACCAAATGACCATGTCTCTCTCTCTCTCTCTCTCTCTCTCTCTCTCTCTCTCTCTCTCTCTCTC